ATGTTGTTGTTTTATAATGGTAAGACTATTGAGAATTATTTAATATAATTAATAATCTCTAGCTCGTATTAGCTTTCGAAAATTTCAGCATATTTCAGTTAGAATTGCTTACCTATTAGGTTTATTTTTATGCTGAGAACATTTCATTTCAATTTCATTGCATAGAATACAAATTCTTTCTAGCAAAGCTTTTTCCGCCCATTAATCCAAATGTGACACAGGTTTTTAAAGAATGAACACTTAAGTAAGTAGCTTGAGGAAGCCGCTAAACTCGAGTAAGTTTTGTTATTATTCGGTTTTGACTGCAGGAGACTCTGACCTACCCAAGACCGTTCGGGATTTGTTTGATGTTTACAGATTACTTACTCGGCTTGCATGGCATTTGAGCCCCCGATATAAGCGGTGCTGTGTTACGGAACGTTATACGTCTTTTATCGAGCATCGTTTCGAAGCTCAATGCTTTTATGCTTTATATGTCTAATCTCGTGCAAAGTAAATTGTCCAGATATTTTTGCACGGAAGATTCATTTACGGAAGAATTCTTGCACCTTGTTGCTTTTGGCTTCTTGATCTAACTGTTGTAAAGCCGTAGAGGATGAAAGAAGAGAACGCACAAAAAAAAAAAGAATGATAGTCCACCTCATTGTGTCTTTATATGTCGTAACGTAGCCTTCACTATAGTCATCTAAAAGACAAACTGCACTGCTGTGCCGCGCTATCACTTGTCAGCCCATTTAAAGTCCTAAGTAATACTGAAAATCAAACATTCCATCGCTTAGAGTTTATAGTGATTGTGATTGCAATTTTTTATTTGCTCTTAGAAAAATTTCACTTAAAAAGGCAAAATTACTTTTTTATATATGTTAAAGGCGATCTTTAATTCAAAATCAAATTATAAAGCGAAGGCTCGCCGCATCATCAAATCGAAATACATATTATTGTCAATGGATGCACTTATCGCGGCGTAATAATTAACAAATTCCTCCTTGGTTATCTATTTCGAAGTAACATTGCAAAGAGAGGGGAGGGGAAAATGTTTAGCCAAAAATAGATGAATAAAGCACACATTTCTGTTTATAGTACAAAAATTTATACTTACAGTGCCGTCGTTATTGCCACGATTACCTTCAAAACTGTTCAAAAATTCCGTAAGCAATTCTTGCTCAGTTTTTTCCCCGCTTTGGTACTTTGGATGCTCTCTTACCGAATAAACATTTTTCAAGTCGTCCACTGTAATAAAGTTGTCTTCGTTTTTATCCATTTTCATGAAAGCCTGATCAATAATGTCTAGACGACATTGAGGCAATGGTGGCTGCAATAATCAACATAAACAAAACGTTAAAAGGGGTTAACGAAGCATTTTTACATTCAATCACTTTTACCCGTAGTTTCAATAAAAACTCTGTCATATCTATAGTGCCGCTGCCGTCTTCGTCGAAACTTAAACATAAAAGTGTAGAAGTTTTGCCTTTTCTTTTTTCTTTTCAAAACTACGTTAGGCATATATGTGTGCATACCTTGAAAACAAGCCTTCAATTTCTTCCTCAGTGAGTTCATTTAATCCACATTCTTTTATGCCGTCTGAAAATTCCTCTACATTTAATGTTTTACTACCATCATCGTCCATAATCCGAAAGACCCTGTAGTTGCTTTACGTAAATACATGAAATGTTAATGTAGTGCTTATGCAAAGTTATACCTTCCCAGACCCACGATACCACGAGCGCCACGTGTCAAGCATAATAACCGTAATTTTGTTAAAGGATCCTTTTCAGTTCCATCTTCCAGTTCCCGCTGCGATTTATTAATAAGTTTCGCCTCCAGCGAATACGGATCTCTGCTTATGTACTGGAAAGTGTAGCCATAAGAGAATTTAAATTATTTATCAATTTTTTCATACTGAAGTACAACCTGCATCATGAACTTTATACGGATATTAATTATACTGAATGAAAATATGTGTAATTAATATGTGTTGCCTGCGTCAGGGTCATATCTAATTCAATTCGAGCATGCATCAAGTCGCCTGCCTGTCTGACGCTGTATGTTCGGCGCAGGCGTGATTTCGACCCTGCTTCTTCCTCTTTCGACTAGTTGAAGACAGCTCATATAATTCCTTCCTATAATCACATGGAAAATTCACCCTTGATGGACTTAAAACTGTTTGAATATTCCACAAAACTTTCGAGAGATTCAAGGGGTTTAGGAAACAATTCAAAATTTTAGATAAAACATACTATCTGCACGCAATCTAGTTCGCAGAACTGTTAATCAAATTAAGTGCAATGTGTAGGCGAAAGTATTGATGAGTTGAATATAGTGGAGCAATAGTGTTCGTTCAACTGCTAATATGCGGAGTTCTTACTAAAGCAACACCAAGAGTTGAGTTGTGCATCTAAACTGAAAATCGAAAATATTGATCCCTTACGTATAAATGTAATCGACTGTCGCATATTGCCTTTTGCAAGCCGTGCAAAAGCACATAGCTTTCGATATCACGTCGACGCGATTTCTTAGCTATGATGACAGCGAGCCATGGAGCTTTATTTGTCGCTTACTCATTAAGGAATCATATAAAACATATTTACACTCTACACTACACTATATATCGATATATTTTTTCGTATGTATACTGTTCCATAAAGGCCTACATGACCTTTCAGACATGGTAGGAATTAATGACGGAGCCACCGACGACATAAATATTATATAGAAAGACATGCTCGCTATCTCATCTAACTGTTATAGAAGTTTTAACTAAATCACATATGATTACGCAATCATTTGCTTGTCAACTTATTAGCCATATATTTTATAGTCAGATAATATCAATGATGAACACATTTATATTTTCATTCTCATAACATTTTCCTATTAACACAAACTTACACTTTCATCGTCGGACATTATTGTTAAATTTTATTTTTTTCCCCTTTAATACTTGCAAACGTTGCGTTTCGAAGAACAGTTGAAATCAAACTAAAAATTCCATAAAAAGAGTACAAGTTTACATCACTTAATGGGCACCATTCCATAATGGGTAAGCTCACAATGAAACTACGTGCTTTCTCTTACACATGTAGTAAATCAATAAAAAATAGTAAATTGTTGTTATTATTGCATTATTGACTGACCTTTCCGAAGGACAATCACAAGGTTTATTATTGTCTTTATGTATGAGAAACGATAAAACAATTTTCATATGTTCCTGATAATGTTCAAATTATTGCTCATTTTCCATGGACATCAAATAGATTTTAATAAAATCCAACTACTCCTTGTCGCAATACAGCAACGTGCAAGTACTTGCACACTTACTATATATAACGGCAAAGGAACCCAATGTTGATTAACTAACGATTATCTAAAGGTAGTAAAGTCAACTTCAGGGCCGGTAGTGCCGATTTTAAAACCAAATCGATAATAAAATCCTTAATCTATTTCTACAATGGACTGCTGTTAACCTTACACAACAACGGGACAAATTAATAGTTATTTCATTAGCGTCGTGGGCGCCATTATTTATCTATTTGTTAACACACACTGCCAAGACATTCTCGAGGTATGTCAATTCTTTCGAAATGTTTCCAATACTTGGAGAAAAAGCTTTTGAGGCCCTACAAAGTGCGTACGACCAACAACATACTCTGAGTCGATGTAGGTACGCCGGCGTATATAACATATCGGGTTCAAATGTGATGAAATCATTCCAAGTTCTAGTACGCAAGTTGATATTAGATATGGACCCACTCGCTCAAAGGTCACCATATACAGCATAAACTGAGAAAGCCCTTTCTTCCAAAAGGAAGAAAATTTACACACGTACCACGACTCTCACACAGCCAAATGTAATCTTCCTGCGTATCTCTATTTTCCATTTCAATATCTAACCAAGTTATAGAAAATCTATATCAAATGAAAGTTGTGTTGTCATGCTTTGCATTGCCAACTCAATTAAAAGACGAAAGTATAAGAAAAATAGCAAAAATCTATCATTAAAACTTTTCCCAGAACAGACAAAAGGGGTTATAAAGAGAGAAGAACTGGACACATTTTTCCGATTATTTTCCTGATTTTTACTTCCAATCCTACGCAGCAATGTAGGCGCTCTGGAAAAATGTTTGGTATGCAAAGAAAGAAGAAGAGAGCTGAGTAAAGAAAAAAAGGGTGAAGCAATTAAAAAGAGTTTTTTTTTTTTCAGCTTAGTACGAATTGAAAGCAAGCCAAGCCCTTCGTGAATCACGCAGACCATTATAGTTTCGGAGAATGTCAAAATGTTAATAAATAGGAGAAAATAAAAAGTACGTAACGTTTTCTACTGCATACCGAGGGCAAATGCGGAAAAAACTTACAGTCAAGCCTTTTAAGTGTTTTTGTTTTTGCAATATCAGTAATCCTTCTTGTCCGTACAATTCGTTGAAGAATTTGTGTTTAATTTTCTGTTTTCTGCAAGTCTTGATGATTATGTGATCATTTTGATAAGGAAAATATTTTACACTTCGAAAGAATTTTCGCTAGCCCAAGTAAGTGGTTAAAGCCCCTGGTATATATGGCTTCTTTTTTTCCAATATCTGTAGTAGTTTCTCTCGAAAAGTGAAGAAATCCTTTATGACGTTCATAAGGCATCAAATAAACTTAACAACAACTTTGCACTTTTAACTTGAAATTGGAAGTGTTCTAGCATTAATTGGTTCTAGTTAAAGTAATCAAGAGAATTTTAAGTAATTAAAATCAAACAGAACATAAACAAATATAATTTTAAATAAAATGTAACATGCAAATAAAATATAGAAACAAACAGATAACGTAAGTAAGCATAAGCACGCACACATGATAGATAATGGAGGCAGTAGCAAATACAAAACATAGAAAACACATTAATACAGATTTAGGAGAAGACACAGAGAAAGAGAAAAATACAATAATAACTAATTAGGTGCAAAATACGGATGGTCGAAGTTGTGCGAAGGACGCTACACGATACTTAAGTTGCGTTAAAAATTATTTTATAAAAGTCATTGGGAACAGAGAATTTATTATAAATGCGGTATTAATGCATTTTAATGGAGGTTGGAGATATTGAAGGTAGGCTTGCTGTTGCCATGGTAAGTAAGGAAAGGTGTTAAGGGTTTGATTGTTATAAGAATGGCTTTGTTGCGGGCACATAGAACGCGAAATGCGAAATAAGGAAACTCAAATTGCAGTTGTAGGTTGATTGGTCTAATGGATAATGTAGGTGTCGATATGAGAACAATGCAGCATATGATAAACACACACAGCATATGATGAATAAATGTCTACCGTTTGGAACAGTTTGCCACAGACTTTGTTACACAGACTTTAAAGTTTTCTTAATCAAAAGTACGTAGACATAGAAGATGTGGAAGTCAGAAATATACCTTCTTTTACCTTTCGCTTTTCGTGATAGTCACAATTTTTTTTTCTTGCACGTCATAGTATCGATATAGATCGAAATGGTCTTTGCATAAACACTTTCTTTTAAGTCATGTTTTGAAAAATATCGTAGGCCGAGTCTCGACGACGAGTTGGGGATAATAAAAATCATTAAACACATTAAGTGACGTACTTCGCTGCATGCAAATTCCTTAATGCTTTATATAACAATAAATTTTGCCTCGGCTCTTGGACTATTCTTTAGCAATTGACAAGAATTGGCAAATCGGAAACTGATAGAATAGACCCTGCCGAGCAAAGACCACGAACATGAAGTTCCATTCAATTTGGATTTTTCGTAATTAAGGTCTACCCGAACGTTGTAGAAGTGGTCCTTACATTTAATAAGGTTTGCCAAGAGAAACTATACACATAGTTTTTTAAGAATGTGTGAAATGTGCAAATACAAATATGCACAATGGTATGTGTACTTGAAAGACTTTGCTCAGCCACGAAAGAAACCAATAATTACTGCAGTAACATAAAATAAAACGAAACAAAAAAGTTTTAGTGTGCACTTCCCATACTCTGTCTCCTCTTTATCCTTATTTTGTGACTGGAAGAAGCTAATACACAAAATGATCACGTAATTCATTAAGGCTTAAAAGCTAATCAACATTAAAATAAAAGAAGAAGAATGGTACGCTAAGAAAATAAATAAATTGTGAAAAGAAAAAAGAAATTCAACTTATGTTCAACAAACGTTTATGTATATCATACGAATGTTGTTGCTAATGTTGTTCATTTAACTCTCTTACTAAACCTATAAGTAAGGTATGTTTCGTACACATATCTACTGAGAAACCCCATCCTCCGGTTTATAGCATAGCATATAAAGACTGCAGCTTAATATTGCTGCGCCCTTCATCGAGGGATCATGTAGCGATTAATCCCATTTTCTGCAGGTTACTTTCTTAAATAGCCTGACTTGGAACCCGCTGCGTTAAGCAAGCCGGCTCAAGACCTATTACTTACTACTATGAAAATCGAAATTTATTTATCTAATTATAAATATTTCATTCCATGATTTCAATTGCAAGCTCATGTATATGATGTGTTTCACTTCCGGCCTTGGAAATCAAGAACTCTAAAGCCAAGCTCGAAAGAAAGCCATTTGACTTTAATATCCGCCTTAAAGGATTTCCCATAAGAAAGGGTGTCTAGAGGAACGTTATACTATTCAAGCTTGAAACAGGGATATTCTCTTTCATGTATATATAATGGAAGTTATGTGGAGTTTATTACATACATCAAACATATAGTTAGTCTGACACGTACCATTCTAGTCCCTCCAATACGTAAATAAATATATAAATTTATATATATACATATATTTATATATTTATATATGTATAGTTTCGCAAGTTGATTACATTACTTCATGTTTGTTTGGATATGCTTTTTTATGTACTCAATACTCTTGGAATGTGCGGAGTGAGTGTAAACTGCAAATATTTACTAAGTTCAATGTGAAAACTTTCTTTCATTTTTTTACGTGTCAAAAACGTTTTTAATGAGTTTCTGGAACATATCAAAAACTTACCGAAAGTGTTTTTCCTTCTGCCTTCTGCCTTCTTTCTCGCCTCTTCTTCTTCTGCTATCATTTTTATCTGTTCGTTCGATGAAAATTTTTGCGAAAATTCATGACCAAATAATTGGGCAAAGAGTTTTTGTACGATGGTCTTTTTTTCATCCTCACTACGGCTTTTGTTGTTGTTGCTTTTCTTTTTCTTGTTTCTTTCTTTGTAGCGCCTAGAAATGCGTGTTAACGGCCCAATAAAATTTACATAGTTTTCGGTCAGCTTGACATTTTGAGGCGATTTGTACATGTGCGCTCGTCCATCTGTCCGTCCGACTAGTAGCAGTTATGTTTTAGCAAATTTATTTCTAATTCAATTTTCAACAGACCCAACGCAGGAAAAACAAAATATAATCTTTTATCTATACCTGATGTCCGATGTAAAATTCGAGTTATTAGAGTTGCCTAATGATTTGGTGTCATCATCGATTTGAAACAGAAAAGATTTTCCGAAAAGTGACAAAACTTCCCTTAGTGATTTTTGTTCGACTACTGCAACAAGGCCAAACATATGGCGAACCCTCTTTATACCATTGCAGAATATTCCACTATTCTCTTATATCACAATATATATTCGTTCAATATACGTCGTTCCTTTGATATGAATATAAACAAACGAAACATCAATACGAAAGATGAAAAGATATTTAAGTTTTTATTCTGCAACCTACGGATATGGAAGAAATGCTAAAATGCTTTCAATTATCGAAGGACTGAGTAAACGTTTTCCTATTTTTATGAGGTGGCTTTGGGGATCCACATCAATATGTACAATGATTTCAATTTGTGAATACTGAAAGGTTAAATAAGGTACGATAAGGTAATTTTTTTCTCTACTTCTCTAAGTTACCATAGTTGATCCACGTTGTACTCCCACCCGCCCCTATTGTTTTAGAAGATCGAGCTTTTCCAACGCTATTTGTTATTCCTTTATTCT